CTCACACACACACACAAACCCCAACTCACACACACACACAAACCCCAACTCACACACACACACAAACCCCAACTCACACACACACACAAACCCCAACTCACACACACACACAAACCCCAACACACACACACACAAACTCCAACTCACACACACACACAAACCCCAACTCACACACACACACAAACCCCAACTCACACACACACACACAAACCCCCACTCACACACACACACAAACCCCCACTCACACACACACAAACCCCAACTCACACACACACAAACCCCCACTCACACACACACAAACCCCCACTCACACACACACAAACCAGCACTCACACACACACAAACCCCCACTCACACACACACACACACAAACCCCAACACACACACACACAAACCCCCACTCACGCACACACAAACCCCCACTCACACACACACAAACCCCCACTCACACACACACACAAACCCCCACTCGCGCACACACACACACAAACCCGCACTCGCGCACACACAAACCCGCACTCGCGCACACACAAACCCGCACTCGCGCACACACAAACCCGCACTCGCGCACACACAAACCCGCACTCGCGCACACACAAACCCGCACTCGCGCACACACAAACCCGCACTCGCGCACACACAAACCCGCACTCGCGCACACACAAACCCGCACTCGCGCACACACAAACCCGCACTCACGCACACACAAACCCCCACTCACGCACACACAAACCCGCACTCACGCACACACAAACCCCCACTCACACACACACAAACCCCCATTCACACGCACACAAACCCGCACTCACACACACACAAACCCCCAATCACACACACACAAACCCCCACTCACACACACACAAACCCCCACTCACACACACACAAACCCCCGCTCACACACACACACAAACCCCCACTCACACACACACAAACCCCCACTCACACACACACAAACCCCCACTCACACACACACAAACCCCCACTCACACACACACAAACCCGCACTCACACTCACACACACACAAACCCCCACTCACACACACACAAACCCCCACTCACACACACACAAACCCCCACTCACACACACACAAACCCCCACTCACACACACACAAACCCCCACCCGCGCACACACAAACCCCCACCCGCGCACACACAAACCCCCACCCGCGCACACACAACCCGCACTCACGCACACAAACCCCCACTCACACACACACAAACCCCCACTCACACACACACAAACCCGCACTCACACACACACAAACCCCCACCCGCGCACACACAAACCCGCACTCACGCACACACAAACCCCCACTCACACACACACAAACCCCCACTCACACACACACAAACCCACTTACACACACACACAAACCCCCACTCACACACACACAAACCCACTTACACACACACACAAACCCGCACCCAGCGCGGTACGAGCGAGCGACGGTTCCCGCCGTAGTGGCGATTCTTGCACAGCACCCTTGGGTGGTAGACGTCTCGCGCGGCGTCTGTCAGAGTTCACACCCATGCAGGCGCGCGCAGGCGCAGGCACAGGCACGCGCAAACACGCGCACGCACGCCACACACGCACACACACGCGCGCGTGCTCCTGCACACCCACAACAAAGACAAGGGTAGCCTGAAAAGACAGTTAGGGCAAGTGCCGCTAGAGAACACCTATGAAGGCCAGCACGGCACACGAGGGAGGGGTGGGTGGCCAGCACCACGCCCGACTGCCTTTGTCTCCCCAGTGGTGAAGTTTACACACCGCACCAGGTACTCATTTGAGGCTGAGTCAACCCAGGGGAGGCCCATGACCGGTTCAGATAATCGTCACTGGTGTTGGCCGTGAGCGGGCATCGAACCCGTGTTGCCGGGTTTGTAGCGCAGCGCGCTAACCGCTACACTACCGCTCCCCATAGGAGGCACGCACGTGCACACACACACACACATGCGCACTTCTGCACACGCGCGCTCACAAACATTCACGGACTAAGTGCGCTGCAGTGCACATATTTTACGCGATAAAAACGCGAAAATAAAACGTCTCGTTGCCCATCTTGCCAAACAAACGACACGAATCTGGGCATTTGTAAGGTAGTAAGCTGCGCGTAGGAGTAATTTGTTTATCGCGACCGTGTGGTTTTCGTGAATGTGTGTAAAGTGTCCGCGGACAGATGGCCCAAAGGATGGGATGTGTTTTACAGAGCATAGCAATTGCAACTCATCGACTTCCTTACAAAAGGAAAATGTATTTGATAGATTTGAGAAATGCTCGACAAATGTCATGCAGACTATGCAATCAGGTATTACAACTGTGAGTCATGACCCCACTCTCAAACCCTTTGCACAACACAGCTGGTTCTTCTACAGGGTAGCGATTTCTCTTATAAATGACCACGAGCTTACGGAACAGACGCTCCATGAGCATAAGATCCCACTGCACACTAATACACTCCAGTGAACATTACAGCCGATTGAGTTTTCCTCTGTGCATTAGTTTGTATTCACAATTGTAATTATTGTGTTCATTGCTAAGATATTTATATCTGCTATGCCCTTTGTTTCATTTGTCATTGACACGAAAATGTAACATTGGCGCAGCCAGGAAATGTCAAGTTCACGTCACTACTCGCAGAAGAGGCTCCACTCGAGGGAGCCGAAGAGAACCTTTCGCGAGGGTGTTTGGACAACTCTTCAATGCCGGCCCGACATCTTTAAAGATGTGGGGAGCACCCACACTTTATCCCACCGCACACGACCTGTCGATCAACTGTGGGATACCCGTTTATACCGCTGGGTAAGACTGAGGCCTGGGCCATTCAAGAAACTTGCACAGACTGCCACACCGGGAGATTAAATCGGACCGATGACCTCTGGATTCGCGAGTCCAATGCTCTAACCATTGCACAAAGGCAGCATCCCTCTGCTCAAGAGATGCAAATCCAACAGCCGATACACTACTCCGCGTAACAAGCTGCTCAGCCCACGGGAATATCACCACAATACGAGACACGGCAAGAGAGCCTCTGTTGTGCTCCCAGAGCCACTGCACGAACCATCTCAAAGCAGTCCTCCCACGTGCAGCCTGCTGTATGCACAATGAAATTGCATCTCCACTGCAGATACCATCCATACCACCTCCGTCAAATTTCATTATGCCGATAACATCGCTAACTGCCGATCATGAACAGACACATATTGGCAATGACGCAACTAAAATCAAGCGAGTGCACTCCGTCACCGCGAGAGTCGTACGACCGTGCTGGCTAAAGGGGAATTGTGATCTCGGGGCGTGCTACTGCTTGGCTGTATTAGTTACCAAAGATAAACGAGATTTCAGGATGCCATCCGAGGGTAATTAGAAACAGGGCAGAGGGGGCAAGGGCACTCGTAGCAACACCAAATATGTTGCTTCCAGGAGGCAAAATAATTCCAAATTCGGGCTCAGACGTATTCAAACAGGTATAGTCACAGTCATATGCATCACACCAGGCCGAAATCAGTCATGTTGGGAAAACTGCTAGATTTGTTGCACGGGATGCCCCAACAATGCAAAAACTCATGACATCTCAGTCACACAATCCAGACACTCACTTTGGCAATGCGGACGCTGACAACTCATTGCACCTTTTGGGAGATTAAATCAACATCTGACATCACCCACAACCCAACCTCACCTGCATCGGTTTTCCTCCAAACTAGGACCCACAGCAAACAGACGAGTCTCTGCCTTTAAACATTGGGCATTTCACCAGCACTGTTTTAAACAAGCCTGACTCTGCTCATGAGCAACTCAATGTCGAAACCAATGCTGCTGAACGGATGTGCTCGCAGGAGAAACGTGCGCCCAATGAGACGTGTAAGCAACACTTTTTTCAAAATAGAGTAAGAAGCATCTACTATAATTATTTTCTGGAGTCCCCAATCCCCAAGGACCCAGGACCCCTGGGGGTCGGGGGGAGACGCATTTCTGGAGCCCAGCCCCAGACTGCTCCGGCCGAAATGAAGTCACGAGTCCAGAGGTGACAGGCAGATGCTTTATAATCTGCCTGAAGCAAAGTACGGTCAGCCGCAGAGACACCAGCGCGGTGCAAGGTGCCTGGGATGTGATTACGTATGCAGAAAGTGTCAGTGCATTACATATGCGCCCATCGATGTGGTCGTTATGTAACATCCCGTACACTTACATGGGGATTCATTCTTTGTGTTTGACATTGAACAATGTATAATGCACCTTTTTATGGGTTTAGATTTGGTGTCATAGTAACCTAGGTCTGTCGTGAAAACGCACCAAGGTTATCACACCGTTAACATTCACAAACTGCCAAAACTATAAACCGTAAAGACATTTTCTCGTCGTCCTTTAAACAAAGCCAAAAACACATTATGATATTTCTGACTTCATCTCAAATCATTAACGTGATTCACATTCTGCCAAGGTAATATTCATGTAACTATTGCCCAATGGGTTTTACCTGTGTCAAAATAAACGAAGCTATCGCATGAGTGCTCACTTATTCAGCATTGTTATGTTAATTGCCACAAGCGACGATGAACAAAATGTGTGTATTTAACAACACACCCAGTTCAGAGGGCACACAACGATGACGGGAATTCACATCTGCGTCGGGTCTAAACGCAGCGGGCGCAGGCGAGGCGCCAGGAGAGGGGATGCGCAGACAGCTTGAGAGGAAATTCACGAAGCTGCCCGATCATGGCAGCGTCCAAATCCAACCACCCCTCGTCAACAAGTCTTATGCAAGAGGGACAACCGGAGGGAACAGAGAGTAATTCGGGTAGCTCCCTCTGAGGTTTACAAAAAAAACACGAAATGGGACGTACCACGGGAAGAATACACTCTCACCATGCCAGAAGAGGGGAGAGATTGGCGTGTAAATGCATCGTCTCGAGCGGCGTGCGGTTGTTTTCTCCGTTACGTCACTGACAAGAGTGCGAGGGATGGAGGCAGGGAAGGAGAGAGCGGTGCACCCACCGTCGTCGAGGGACGCCTCGCCGCTGCTGTAGCCGTCGTGCGGCGAGGGGGCGGTGGGGGTCGGGCTCGGGCGCGTGGCGGCCCGCGGCGTGCCGGCCCGCGGCGTGCCGGCCTGCGTGCGGCCCGCCGCCGCCGCCTGCACGGCCCTCTCCGACGCGGTGGCAGAGCGGAAGCTGTGCGAGCGCGACACGCTCTCCTCGAACTTCCCCATCACCTCCTCGTCGCTGTCCGACGAGGACACGTCATCTCCGTCGATCTCCTCCTCGCGGCCGCCACCACCACCACCTCCTCCTCCTCCGCCACCTCCTCCTCCGTAGCTGCGCACTGCTGGGCCCGGGCCGGGTGGAGCACACGGAGAGCGGAAAGAGAAATGTTCCAGCGTCCGATTACTTTGTAAGTTCGCACGCGGAGAGGAGCAACTTTCAGAATGAGATTCGTTATTTAGAGCGGAGGAATCCAATGGGCTGTGAAAGCTCTTTTTCACAAATGTCCAGCAGGGTCACGTCAGCAAGTCACAACAACAGACCATAAACGCACGCTTCATTAAACAGGTTCATCATCGCCGTCATCGTCACATCCATCACCATTTCCTGCATTCGCAATTTTCGATGCGGGGCAGAAATACATTTTTGGGAGACTGTAATCTATTTTGATGAATATATTTTTAAATAACTGATAACAAAAAAGTGACTGCACACGAGACATCACCAGAAGGTTCTCCCCGAGCAGAGCACGTGGCAGCCTGACATGCCCAAAGGGCATGGATGGGGTGTGTGTGTGAGCGTGTGCATGGGGTGGATATGTTTGAATGGGGTGTGCGAGTGTGTGAATGGGGTCTGTATGAACGTGTTGTGTAAATAGGGGGGTGTGTACGAATGCAAAAGCTGGACATGATACTTGAGGGGGCTCAGCCCTGTCAACCCGAGCCACCAGCTTGCCTGACATTCCCATTTCATAAAGCAGTCTCGGCAACACGTCTCTCTGTCCGTCCTTCTCACACGTCCATTACCATCATCACAACGTCGTCCATCACCATGACAATGTCGTCTCTTCGTTTTTACTTGCCGCGTTTCCCCACTCACAGCCGCTCCCGGATGAGGGTCTTCTTTATGGAGTCTCTTCTCGTCTCTTTCACCACACTTACTCCGTTCCTGCTGACCGTATGTTACTATCCTCTCCGTTGAGCCACGTTTCCACCGCATATTGCGTGGATTACAAACCCTGTCAATCCACACAGTTCACCCGCGTTCTTGTACAGGGAAATTGAGTTTTCAGGTCCATACGGCGCACAGCCGTTTCAATACGGGCAACAACATTTTTTTGTCAATTTGTTTGTGTTTCTCCCCTGTGATGGGACTTTGTAGGATGAACGTTGAGATTTATAAGGGCACGAGGTGACCAATAAGGTCTCAATTGGTCTGTAATAAGGTAGGCACTGATAAGGGGTTGACAGGTTTGGGATTGCTGGAAAATAAATATTTTTTATATTAGACCATTTCGCAAACTACACCCTTCACACTGCTGTAGAATCCCCAGGCCTTCTCTGGATCCACGTATTCACCTCTCTTACATCTTTCCTGTCATGGTAAACAAACTCCCCGAGGACTTCTTACGGAACCCACTAGTCCCATGGCCTTCAGCAAAGTGCAGATTCAGAAGCATTGATTCAGTACAAGCAAACTCTGGACCAGTTTCCACATATACTGTCTCATCAGCAGTCAAACTTGCTTGAATCAATGCTGGTTAAGTGGCAGATGTTATAAGCAAGAGCCCTCTCTTTAAGATATTGGTCATAGTGTGACACTAAATGATATAAAATGCAACACAAATCAATGCTGCCGAGTTCATGCACTCCCAGACGGCCTTGGGGCCAATGGGTTGTGTAAAAATATACTTTCATGTGGAGAGACAGATAAATTATGGAGACGTAGCATTCTCTTTTGTTATTCATATTCACCACAATGACGCGAGATAATGTTCTGCTAAACCTTAGCACTCAAAATGTTCTACCAGGAGACCCAAAGGAAAGTAAAAGAAGAGACAGATTAGAAGGAGTTAACTGAGAAACGGGAAGGTACAGACTGAAAGCAGCAACGTTACCGAGACGACAGTTAAGAACGAAGAAAGAAAGAGGAAAACACGTGGATTGCATGGATGAAAGGGGAGCGCAGGTCACAGAGTGGAACAGCAAGGACTTGTGGACGGAGCTCTTTCAAGGATCCCTCAAGGTTGATCACAGGGGAGACGAAAGTGATGTGGGAGAAGATGAGGCTGACTAGGATGATAAAGATGGGTCGTCATTAGACAGAGCTAGAAAGAACAAAGGGCCTATGGAGAGAAAGCGAAACCCCAATGGATCGGCAGAAAATAACTCTACCAATTTATAAGGACACAGGAAGTGTGGAAATTACAGAAGGGTAACATTACTGTGGCACGCTGCCAGAAAAAAAGAGTTATCGACGGAAACGTTGGGAATGAGGTCGATAGATCCTTGACACAAGAGCCCCGTTCATCCAGATGGGCGGAGGTCCGTCACTGATGCTGTATTTGTTAAATCTGTGAAGTCATGGAAGAGCATTTTGGAGGATGGCAGAACAACGGTCAAGGTATTTTCCTCGACACTGACGCCACGATAAGCAGCGCGGTGTGGAAACGCTTAAGAGGAAGCAAACGATAGGGAGCTGCCAGACAGAATGGAGGGACGACAGCGGGTGTGCGGACGCTGCGTAGGAACACAGTTGGGATGTTGTGGATGGTTTAAAGTGAATCGAGAGTTATTGTGGGGTCGTGTGCCGTCACCTGTACAGATAAGAGCCGCAAGTAAGCAGTAAACCGACACAGGAAGGGTGACGGCAAGCAGTAAACCGATACAGGGTGACATCAATGCTCCTTGTAGATGATAAAGATACATGGGCAGAGAATAGAGAGGCAACGCAAACACCCTCGCATCTGTGCGTAGACGGGATTGAAGAGACGGGATTGGAGGTGAACGAAGTTCAGCGTGGCTGAACTGTGAAGCAACACAGAAGGGGAGATGAAAGCGATTGGATAACCTTTGAAAGTAGCAAGTGGATTAATGCACGCTGGTGCCAGTGGCTTTTTTTGCGTGCAAGAATTGAAGGGTGGTGCAACCAGACGCTTGCACTCATAACGAGCGAGACCGCTACGCGTGCGACCGAGTAACATTCGAGGGATAACGTTTCACCGACTGCATTTCATCACGGTGAGCAATGAAATGCACTGTATGATGACGCAGTCATGTTTTTCCAGATGGCAATCTTTTTTTGCCGTATGTAAAGTATATGTTGCAACCGGTATTTGACATAAAATATATAGGACATCACATTTTTACATAAATTGGAATTAATTATACGTTAAGAAGCAACTTTTTATTTTGACGGATGTTTGTTGTCATCAGACCGAATGGAAATGCGTCGATTAGTCCGTCACCCTGCACGAGTTGAATGGCCAACTCCACGTGTTTGGAGCATTTTCAATCAGGATGTGAAACTGGCCCCGGGAGAACATCATAGCCAGCCCCATTATGATGCAAATTGCCAAATCTGAGTCATAAAATAGACGCCTTCTCGTGACGATCCATGGCAGGTCCATAATGCTTCCGTGAACCATCAAGGATTTTCAATTTCGATGACAAATAACCGACTTAACCAGACAACTTCCTGTGCACACACGGGTGGGGCCCCACGCTCTGCCCGGTGACAACCATTTTGTTTTGCATCACGTGCGTGCAAATCGTCCACACGTTTAAATTACGATGACCCCATTCTCCGGATTGTAAGGCGCACGATTCACTCCCCGCCGCCACCCCCTTGTATTTTAAAGCAACGTGTTCCTGGTTTCTTAAAATCCGGAGCGTCTACTAATCTGTAGCTCTCGAGAATCCATGGGGTGGATTATAATATTATAATATTAATTATAATATTATAATAATAATTATAATATTATAATATTAATTATAATATTATAATATTAATTATAATGATATAATAATATGTAATTATTTTCATAATAATTATATTTTTATTCCGGCTCAGATCGAAGCGGAGCTCGTTGGCACCTTCTACGTGCACGCCGGTTTAGCCATCGGCTGCTCCGCACTCGTCGAGGGTCGGCAACTCGGTGGCCACGTGACCGCAAAGCTCGTCGGCAAAGGAGGAGCGATGACACCGAGGCGGCAAGAATAAACAGACGACCACATTCCACACGTTCACAACCAGTCCCCGACTCCACCTCCTCCTCGCCGATGTTTACGTTTCATCTGGGACATCCCACAACTCCCTTCCCCGCTATAACGAAGAGCCGACCGTGATATTAACGTGGGCAGCAGAGCCCATTGCGTTCAGGGAAACGAATATTTAACTCCATTTACTGCATTATTTTAACTGTAATGCATATGTTAATGGCGAAAAAAGCATTTCAAGGAAATATTGACTTAAAGCTTTCGTGACTGCTGGAATTCATATTCTTTGGGTATTTCGGTAAAGTCACGTAGATATTTCGATTTAAAGCTTTCGTGACTGCAGGGATTCATCTTCTTGGTTCTTTCGGTAAAGTCACGTAGAAGGAAAGTAATAAAATAATAAAAATAAAACATAATAAAATAAAATAATTCTCACGACGTTTCGGCTACAACGCAAGCAGCCGTCTTCAGGTGAAGAATGAGACACTACCAAGCTAGGAGCTTATATATACGCTGGGTTGGAGGTGCAAGAAGAGCGCCGTAACACGTAGATAGTTACAAAATTTATAAAAAATAAATAAAAACACGTTTCGAACACAAACCCAAAAAATATTTCAAGGAATTATTTATGTTTATTGATTTGATAAAACTGCGAGTGTTGCATTTTGCTGTCATCTTTAAACATGAAAACACTAATAAAATATATTAATGCGGTTGGTGATACAACCAGCCACCTACTGGGCCCCGGGTTAGCGTAAGGGTGATGATGGTCACAGTGTTGCAATGACCAAGGTTGGGAAGATATGCGTTTATGGTTCAAGGGTCTTAAGATCACTCATTAAATAAAATATTATAACTTGATATTAAAAAGAAACTCCTCTACACAATAATAATATTGACAAAAATGTAACTCGTTAAAAAAAACTGGAAAACCGCTTTGCAATTAAAAACTTCAATCATGTTCCTGCTTCGTTCAAATGACTCCAGAACAGAACAGCGCTAGAGGAACGAGTGGTGGCACCTAGCACAAGTGGAACAATCCACCCTGACCCATTCGATGATTCTAACTTGCCGACCGGCCTATACTGGACGTGTGAAAAAAGAGCTTCATAGCTCATCGGATTCCTCCTGCAGTCTAAATAAAGATTCAGATTAATTATTCAGATTCAAGGCCACGATAGATTTGAGAACCTACATTGTGGTGAATGTAGCGTCTACTCATGGCTGAACGGGGTGAACCTATTGCATGCAGCATGCGTGAATTGGAAAACATTGCTTCTAACCCAACTCGATGCTTTCGCCGCGAGCTTGGATATTGAAGGCATAATCAACGCAGCGTCACAGCATCTCTGTGATCTGGGTAAGGTGACTCACAGTATCTCGACAATGGCGTTACATGGGGCAGATAAGGGACTCACTCATGGGAGAGATAGGGGACTCACCTCGCACATCGCTCCCCAGTAACCCCATAAGACTGAAGGTCAATCAATAACCATAACTCCCCACAGCAGACAACGCGATAGACTGGGAAAGGTCCGTGCCTCGAAGCAATTCTTTTGACTATCTTCACTGCTCAGGTGTCCCACGGTCTCTCCCACAGCCCCGTCACTACTGCCTCCACCGCCTCCACCTAGCAGCTGACCTCCCCCCATGCCTCCTACTGATCCCACAGCTTGCTCTGGCTGCCGTGATATCGCCTTGTTATCCTCATCATCACACACACAACTATAATGGGGCAAGTGTGAGTTTGCTACTCTGTCCGACATTTTTTCAAGCGCATTTTTTAGGGCATAGCATGTGCGAAACGTGACTGTATTCAATTAAGTGTTGCCTTAATGTATTCTTTATGTCGGTAAACGTTTTTATTTAAAATGTGGGAAACATTACATGCGGTTTATGACATTCAGATTAGCGCGACGCGTTTACGCCACTGGTGACCCATTGAACAGTTGATCATCCAGCAGCACGACTCTGACGGACGATGATGCCTCTACTGTGGAAGCAAGTAGCAAGTCAGCGAGTTTCATTTTCAAAAGGTCAAGTCACTTAAACAGAGAAAGGAAGAAGACAAGAAACATTTATTTTAAACATTTATAAACAAAATTGCATTGCTTCAATTTCGGTAAAGAAAAATGTCATGTTCATTACTGAACTACACACTTCACACTTGGCCTATCGATTTATAAAAACTTGGGGACTTTTATTACATGTTGTAACCAATGGCGGAGCCAGGATTTTCAGGTAGGGGGGGCAACCCCTCCAGCAATGAAAAATGATAGAGTTGTTGTAACTAAGTAAGGACGTGTCCCTTGCTTTTCATTCGACGCGTGTGCGGCGATGGCGCAGCCATCGATCGAGGGTCGAATTCGAACCGCGCTGTGTGATCGGCATCGCGCTCGCTGAAGGTGTTGATGCCTTCAGGGAAGTCGTGTACTGTATACGCAACTGCGCACAATTCTGTGAGTCGCTTATAACTGCTTTGCCGTTACTTATTGCCAATTATGGACTCAGACTATTGTCCTATTATCTCATAGAGTCCATGGCACTTAATAATATGCTACACAGTGGCAGTGGGGGGTCACAAAATTCCGATTTATTACTAATAAACCCCACTGATCCAATCGGAATGGTAAATACGTTATTTTTGAAAAAAAATCCTTGATGTTATTGTATATCCATTTCTTACTTAGTAGTTTAGATTTCGCTCATTCTAACCTATGAAGCCATCGCCGTTGAACTTGAATCCCGAAGGCCCCTCGGCCCTCCGCAGAACCTAGGAGGTGCTGGCCCGAAACGTCGTGTAAACAAAGGGGCAAGTCATCATGGGACCCTCTATTAGTAAAGGGGCAAGTCTCAAACATCCACGCCGCCTCATTCCACCCAGCAGAGCAACCGGGTCGCCGCCGCGGCTAGCCGATCTCCAGATCGCGTGCGGTGAAGTATGGGTACTCCCACTGCTCTTCCTAAACGCGCTACCAGCGTAAAAGAGTAGGCCAAATACCCTCGCGAGCGGCTCCTCGAGATCGCCCACTCGAGTGGAGGCCTTTCCGCCAGCAGTGGCGTGAGCGAGATATCGCTGGGCTGTACCGTCGCCTGTTCGTGATAGGCTCATAACAAAGTTGGAGCTATTACCCCAACAGCAATATCAATGTACAAGAGCAATGCCGATTTAAATAAAGTGATGCCAACATGAACTCGGAACAAGCAAAGCTGTTTACACCGCAGTGGGCACAACCACGAGGGTGGCGCAACGCCGCCATCTGCTGGCCGCGTGCAGAACTGCACCGCGAGCCTCGTGCCAGGGCACCACCAGCACCGCCGTGCCAGGGCACCACCAGCACCGCCGTGCCAGGGCACCACCAGCACCGCCGTGCCAGGGCACCACCAGCACCGCCGTGCCAGGGCACCACCAGCACCGCCGTGCCAGGGCACCACCAGCACCGCCGTGCCAGGGCACCACCAGCACCGCCGTGCCAGGGCACCACCAGCACCGCCGTGCCAGGGCACCCACCAGCACCGCCGTGCCAGGGCACCACCAGCACCGCCGTGCCAGGGCACCACCAGCACCGCCGTGCCAGGGCACCACCAGCACCGCCGTGCCAGGGCACCACCAGCACCGCCGTGCCAGGGCACCACCAGCACCGCCGTGCCAGGGCACCACCAGCACCGCCGTGCCAGGGCACCACCAGCACCGCCGTGCCAGGGCACCACCAGCACCGCCGTGCCAGGGCACCACCAACACCACCGTGCCAGGGCACCACACACCGCCGTGCCAGGGCACCACCAACACCGCCGTGCCAGGGCACCACCAGCACCGCCGTGGACGTCAGCAAGCCACCACCACCACCACCACCACCTCACTCCCATTGGCGCCCGCCACAATCACCGGCACCTTCTTCTGCCCGGCTTGCTCCGAGTGAAACATTGCACCGAACACGCACTCTTGTTCTTTAGAGAAATAAGAATGTGCCGGCGTTGACCCGCGCACATTGCAATGCGAATATTCAACGTCGACGTGACCCCGTGTTCAAACAAGAATGGAGCGGTGCTCATCTCTCTTGGCAGCCCATTGCCAGGATGACAACTCCACATTCCTTTGGCGGGGGGGGGGGGGGGGGTCAGTGTGTTTTTTTTATCAAATGCAGATGTTAGACAACAAAATTGTCAATAATGTCAAAGGCAAACGATCACACCAAGCAAAGGCAGAAGAAAGGTCTTCACATTAGTTGCAAGAAACTGGATACGTCGAGAGGCAAAGAGGCCGCAGGGGGGTGCAGGCCGTGAAGTCGAGACGGTCAGCAGACAGCGAGCGCTGGGAGGTTCCATCTTTTCCTTTTAAATGCTTGAAAACTCCGAAGGAAGTAGAAGACAAAGGTCACACAGCCGAGCAGATTCGTTCCTCGTCTCGGTGGAAGCAGGAGAAGAGGCAGGACAGAGAGAGCCGGCAGCCAGGGAGGCAGCAAGTAGGCCCAGGCCCAAGTCCTGCGAGCAGCAGCAGCATCACGAGGGTGCAGCGGCCATCTCCTCGCAGCGCCCGGTCCCCCCCGTGCATCGCGAATCGATGCGTGCGGCTCCCGCTGCACCAGGTCAGCAGGAGGCCGCCGCCGTTATCAGCAGCGTATTCTCCAAATTACAAGACGTGCTTTTTCCCCTTTGAGGCGAGCGTGTCGTGAAAATGCGGTAGGAGTGAGAGACCAGATCTGTACAGCCTGATTGGCACAAGTGCGAGGCCAGTGCCACTCTCCCGAGCGTCTTATAATCTGGAGACGACACCCCGTGACCCTCGTACCATCTAACGCCACCCGCCCGCCGGACACGGTCAACCCTCGGCTGCCTTTTCAAGCGACTCGCCGCTCTCACCTGAGTTCCTGCTGCTCCCTTGACGATAGACGTCCGCGTGGTGGCCATCGCCGTACGAATTTCTGCTCGAGTTCCGTGATCGGCGCGGATCTTCCGGCAAGGGCGTGGGCCTCTCGTCCCGCTCGCCGTCGCCACGCTCCTCGTCGTCGTCGTCGTAGCGCTCGACCGCTTGCGCCCTCGTCTGCGCACGCGAGTCGCCTCTTCCGTGGCTGGAGCCGGGCGAGCGCCCCCCGTTGCGGTGCTCCCATTCGCCGTCGTCGGGCTGGGAGCCGCTTCGCGAATCGTCCGCGGCGTCCGTCGGCGGACTTCTGGTCGGCGTGGGACCTGTGATTTCCGAAGTCAGGTTCCCGATAGCCTCCGTCACGGAGTTCTTGGCCTGCTCCACAGCGGAGCCCAGCTGCTCCACCCAGGAGGACAGCGAGCCAAAGTTTCCCGAAAAGGCCATCGCCGCCCTGAGTCTCCCCCCGCGATCGTTTACTTTCTTCTGCCCGTGTCCTTCGCTTTGAATTTCAAATACCGAACTTGGTGCAAAATCTCCTCATGGCGGAAGAAAATAAGCGTCTTCACAACAGAAGGAAGAAAAAAAAATCATTAATAATACGACGTGAATACAGCGTTAACGGCTCTCTGCATCAAACAGGTCAATGATGGAACAAGACGGCATTGTTTACGCGTACCACGCGGATTAGAGCGGCGCACTCCGGAGGGCTCCATTAAGGCCGTGCAAGGTCCCCCCGGAGGGGCAAAAGGAGGCAGAGTGGAGGAGGTGGAGAGGGGCTCTTGGCAAAGCCGCGTAGAAGGAAACGGCTTGCGGGCGTTTGCACGTCACATTGAGGCCCCGGAGAAGAAGAATCGCCACCTGTGCAACCTTCCGCAAGCACACGGTGGGCGTGCACAGCCATCCTATTGACCGTCGACTGCAAAGTATTACCGTCGCTGTTATTGTGAACGGGTGCGATGGCTTTTGACCAATTTGGGAGACGCTTACATCGCCTTCATCAATCATGGATGCATTGACCGTGAGATGGCAGACAGCAAATGGTTCACCGTGCACTTAACAGTAGGGGGCTGCCGTGTGTGCGGAGCGGGACAATTGGGCTCTGGGGCCTCTGACTAATGGCGATGTTTCGGCGATACGCGGCGGTCCCCTTTATTCATTTAACACCGCTCGCGTTTACGTCCTGCCGAATCCATTGTGCCGTCATCGATGGCAAAGTGGGGGGTGGAGGGGGGGGGGGCGTTTTCACGTCTTACTTCTGCACGAGGTTCGCGCCGCTGTACGGTGGCGAGCGCATGCCCGCAGCGAAACGTTAATGCACTTTACTCTCGAGCAGTGCCAAGATGTGCACCACACTGGCGCACGCAGCACAACGTGTCGCAGTGTGCCTCGCCATTCATCTCGGCTTGCCAAGTGTTGTGTGTGTGTCTACTGGGGTAGAAATTCTAGATCCGTTTCAGTGGCTAAGTCAATATCAGGATTGAATTGATGTAACAGCACAAGCTGACATCTGGCAAGTTTAATCGGGAATAAATGTTTTATGTGCAAGTCTATCGTACTGCCTACGACCGAATCACCTGGGATGTGGCCAATCTCACCAGAGCTCAGACGCTAAGCGGGTTTGAGCCTGGATAGGCCTCGGATGGGCGCCCACCGTACATAAAACATGTGGCGTAGGCTGCTGTGGAGCTACATCGTCAGCGGAGAGCAGTGCATGCCGTTCAATCATGTGGCGTCTGTGCTCCCCATCCTCACCAACCCACACGGACCAGCATGGTCAAGTACGGCCAAATCACCCGCCCCAATGACCTGCACAGCATTTGGGAGGCACCTCATCAAAGCAGTGGATTGACAATTAGGGCAGTATAGGTATACAGTATGTACAAGCATTAATTAAAATAAATCACTGCGTACCCCTACACATTGCAACCATATGACGCTACTTTATCCGAAAACGACCTTTGAGCCACTAAGTCATCCCACTCCACATTTAATATGATGATATGTTTTTTGCAGTCATTGCTATGGTGCTGACTGACACTCTCTATAGCAGAGAACCCAGCTCATTCACTGGTGGCTTGCCCAGCTTCAATCCCAGGATCTCAGTGGTGCTGCAGCTCCTGACAATTCCCAAGCCACCCGCCCATCTCCAACAACTCCGCAAATGTATTTTGGCTGACATTCCTCCCCCTCGAAGACACCGCCGTGACCACCAACCACATCAGAACATCAACAGGCCGAGTGCACATCTCCATCACGAATGGAAAATTAAAGACTAACCACGGTTGTGCGATTGTGGTCATGCACCCAACAGCTACGGGCCACAAAGTAAAGCCACTGTAGTCTGCACTCCTTCAGTGGAGGAGGGATAGCAAGACGACACGAACTCTCTCCTCCTCAAGCCCTCTTGTCGTCGCGAGCAGCAGACCTCGACATTGGCAGAGCTCCTGGACACATCGAGCTCCTGGCCACATTGCCATCCACAAGAAAATAACCTCCATCCAGTGTATCAACAATTTAAACTCCAAAACACAAATGAACAAGATTGCACTGATAGGGTGTAAAAATGATGGTCAGTAGAGGAAACAGTGTTCGTTATTACAATTCAGCTGGACCAAGCGGATGTCGATATTTAAGCAATCTCCCACCTTGGATATATAAACAATTGGAAAGTGTTTGTTCGAATGTGCATATATATCACTATTAGATTGATTCAATGTGTACCCTTGTTGTTGTGTGTGTGTCTGTGCAAATACGCATGGTACAAATACCACATATCCACAAGCCTTGTGCGTGTTAATGTTGGAAAATACATCGGTGCCTTGCGCTTACGTCAAATAACCTACGTATGAATATCAAATCACAGCACCGAGTATTATAGCATTCATGGGAACATTAAAATACGATTTTAATAGTGTGCCCTATGCAGCGGGTGAATATACGTTATGCAATTTCCATTTGTGCGTTCCTATTCAGTATAAAAATTACACGACCTCCGCACAATACCTCATATGAATCGGGGGAATTCAAAATGTTTTTTTTTTCAAACATATTTTAATAGAAAACATTATGCACATGTCTAGAGATAATGCTTCCTCAATATATGCATTGCATTATTGATACGTATCCTATATAAATTGCAGGCGAGTCAAGGTTGAGCAATGCCTTCGTTTTACATATTAAAGAAAATCACCATGCAAAAATATCAGTGCACAGCACGCACCGCTGTAAGACGTGCATCCTCGTTGTTGTTGTGGTGGTGGTCAGCCCAGTGCTGCGTCTGTACAAAAGCAGTGGACAGCGCACACGCAGTCCCGTGCTGGATGAAGGCCTCCGCATGCTACGACGGTTGAAGTGGTTGCTTGGCCATGCCACAGGGCCCGTTCAAATATCGTTCGCCGCTGATGTTAGCTGTGCCCAGGTTCATCGCGCAGTGCACACGAGCAGATTGTGAGACAATGACACGTGCAAGCCGAGAGAGAGGGAGACCGGTCCTGGGTTTTCCCAGGACTAGCTCGCTGACCAGCCCCTTCTGGACATGTGTGATAAAGAGTTTCATAGCTCATCGGATTACTCCAGTCTACATAAAGATTCTGATTCTGAGTTTCAGAGAAGTCTACACTGGATATTAGCAAAGTGTGTTTTATAAAAGTGACAGGTGGTCCATGCTTTGCCTTGTTGACGAGAATGCTCCCATAAAACACTGCTGCCAGAGGGTCCATTTGTCAATGGACTTGAGTGTCATGTTATGTTTGTTGGCAACGATGCAGACCCCTTTCCTGTTTATTATGAATGCATTACGTACATTATGAGCTAATGCATGCAGCGCGTACAGCCAGATTACAGCAGGGAGAAGAGTAAACAAGTCTAGTTTACAGTGTCTGAGAAACCAAACATATTCATCTTCTGAATTGGCAACAATGCCAACAACAAACAAACCCCTACTACTCTATGTAACAATGATAATAATACTCTTAGGTTTTTTCGGTAAAGTCACGTAGGTAAAAATAAAAATAAATAATAGATAATGTATATTATTTTTATAATTTATTTTTCTTTTTACCTACGTGATTTTTGCGAAAAAAACTTAAGGGTATGAATCCTTGCAGCCACGAAAGCTTCAAATCTAGAATAATAATAATAATAGCAACGTCAACGCGGTGTCCGTCCGCTCTTGAAGAGAGAGAACGACTCAGCGGCGAGAGGAACCACAGACGAGCAGAAGCCACGGGCCCAACTGTCACAGACGATTGCCCGAGATCTGTGGTCCTCTATATATGAAGGTGTTATCGGTCAACTCATGGCTGTTTACATATACTGGGTGTGAGCCTATCTACCGCATGCAACTTTCACACCGCGGTATATAGAATAAATAAATGACGTTAATACACAATAGAAGGTTTAGAGTGAATAATTGAAGCCAGGGTCATCCAAACCTCCCGCACTGAGGGCCGGATTGACTAACATGCTCGGGGCCGTGGGTCAGCAACGGAATAATTCATGAAGAATTGAACAGAGATGTACTCAGAAAAAGATAGGTGGAAGCTAGGAGGTTTATGCTTTTAAAAGAGAGATATATACAGTATATAAAAGAGAGACATGTTTAAAAAGGTAAATATCCGAGATTGGAAACGAGTTGGGAAAAGAGATTGGAAACCCGTATATTCTAAAAATAAGCGACACAGAAGGGATATCTATTCATAAGAGATGCTTATAGCCAGTGTTTACTGTATCAAGACAGATACTTCAATATCCAAGGATCATTTCGGTCTGAAGCTTGAAGACTGGACATGAGGAGTGAACCCTAAAACACGAGCAAAGCGCTCGCAGAGCTCCAAACATCGATCCACACCAGACACCAGAAATCACAAGGGAGCACTTGCCCCAGTTCTGTACGTCTTGGGCATTAACACAGGAACCTAACATTCATAATGGACCTTAGTCTGCCTGTATGAGCCGCAGATATAAACACTGAAGCCGATGCATTATAGATAAGGGAGCCATCATCTGGCTTTCTGAGCCACAGACATTAACAATTAACCAGAGCAATTACAACGGTGCCTTGGTCCGGCTCTGTGAGACTTGGTCATTAAGGATGATGGTGAACTCGATGAATCCCAAATACATTCGAATCTGACGCATCCCATCAACATCCTCGGTGGCGTTGCATCGCTAATTATCAAGCTACGGCCTGCCATGCCTTCAGTTGCCGTTGGCAACGTACACAACACGTTACAGTGACAATGGACTTCGGCACGCCGCCTTAGGCCAAGACTGCAGTTCATTGTGCTTATTGATGGAATGCCACGGGAACATTCCTGCTCGTGCCATTCCATTTGCCGTGTATGGATTTCAAGGTGCGTAGAGGAATGTCCCTTTCAACGCAAACGGAATGAACGACATTCACAGAGACGATGCAACGCAAAAAGTCGCCGTGGCCATGACCACATCTCTGGACGCGACACAAAATAGGGGGGGGGGGGGGCAAGACACATCGCGTCTCCCTGCGGCGTCCTTGGGCCCAGAGGCCCAGAATATCAAGTGACCCGCAACAAGTAGCACGATCACAGTTGTCATCGATGAGAGTGAGCAGATCTCTGGGCAAGTGGAGGGGAATATGCTTGGTTCTCCAACAGGTTTTTTTTTATCGAGGTCAGAGAGTGAGGATGTAAAATGCTACGGGGCAGGTAATAAAGAGGACTGCCCGATTCGTAATATGGTTCCTTCGTGTTGATCGTGTCGGTGCCAATGTTGAACTGGAACCCTCCACCACCCGACAGAGCCAGCTGATTCAAGTTGTCACGTGGGTGAATGTGCCAATTGATTTGGTCTATCGGCAAAACTAGAGGAATGTTGAAAGGAAAACACAACAGTGACAATGTCTGTACGACCTTTCGCTGGAGATAACAATAAACTTGATCGAGTGTTCAGCAAAAAGCTCAGCTCTCGCGTGACCTGAATCGTATGGGTCACAAAAGCCCACAAATACAGAGAGGACAAACAGCCTGTCAAAGGTGTGAATGAAGATTCCCCATAGAGAAGAAACGAACGGGCGTGGGGCGGTAATGTTTACGTCAACAATGAGAAGAAATTGAGGACATCAGTCATCCTTCATCGCCGGTTAGGAGAGACGTCGTTCTAGTTGGTGGCAATGGCGTTGGTTTGGCAGGTGTGTACTTTTTAAGCAACCTTGATTTGAAAAATCAAAACTCTTAAAAACTCGCCCAGCACCAATCAAGATGTATAAACCGCACATCACACTTGACGCGCAACTACTCGCTCAGACGTGGACAAAGCAGCTGCAGCCAATGATGGAGTTGTGCGATAACGAGAGCAATTTGGGTTGCACAACCGATCGCTCGCGCATGGATCCGCCTTAAAAAAAACTTGCCCAGATATACCGCAGGGCCAGCTCTAGTGCAGTGCAATGCATTTGTCTGTAATGAGGGGGCATACCCAGCTTGTCGTGAAGACTCCGTTTGTCCTTCCTCTGCCGTAGCTGGGCCTCCAGGCAGGGCAGGCCTCCCACGTCGGCGAAGCACAGCTTCTTGTTGATGAAGAGGAAGAGCAGCACCAGCAGCAGCACAAAGAGCCCCACCGCCGACAGGAAGCCCACCGCCTCCGGGGAGACTGCCGATGGCACGGGGAGGAGGACAGCGGAGGCCACGAGCAGAGAGACAGAGTCACCGCTGAGCGAGGCAGCGGCAACACTCGCTGGGCCACAGCTCACAACCAACTTCAGCCGCGTTTGGCAAATGGGAGGATATTTGAGACTCCAGACAAAGTCCGCTCATGCCACTCAACGCTTCATGCATTCACATTCACGATGGGTTAACGATAACAATAAAGGTGGCCTTAATGATATCACGGGAATGTCAATTTACAATGGCGATGGGTGGCGCACGCCTGTAATCCAGCTCTGCGGAGGTGGCGGCAAGGGTCGGCGGGTCACACGCACGTTGTGAAACATCCTTCCCGTGGGCGTCGAGGTGCCATATCCTGGGCTCGGTAACAGACGTTGGTCAACACGATCATAACAGGATGGGATAGTGTTGCCTCTTCGCGCACGTGAGTTTTCTCCGGGTGCTTCGGTTTCCTCCCACTTGTATGCACACTCACTCATTGGTTGAAAATATCTTAAGCTATGTGCCTCCCTGTCTGTGTATTGCACCGCGTTGTGTGATGCAATTGCATATTTGGTGCAAAATAAAACAAAGCAGCTTGACCCCACACAGTAAATGCCCAAATAATTCATCGTTCGTGTCATTGTGGAGAACATAAGTAGCAAAATAAATAATCAGACAATTTGCCTCCTAAATAGATCTGACATTGAAAATAAAAGAAACATATTTTTCACACATCCCATCAGCCACACAGCGTTTGCGACAAGAGGCAAACTCTCTCCGCCCGGCCAAGTCCAACGTCTTGCAGGCCGATCTCTCACGGCGACAGCCGGCGTGCTCCCGACGGAGCTCTTTCCCTCTCGGAGCGCCGACACAAACTATTACAGCGGCCGCGCACATTCACTCACGGAAGAGCCTTACCCCAGAAACCGAGCGCTCAAGTCCAACGGACAGTTTTCCACTACGTCGATACATTCACCATGGAAACGAAAATGTCTCCGAGTTTTGCCAAACCTTTTTTCATTGGGCATGTCAAAGAACTTTTTTTTTATTACACAACCACCGAATCTGAACAACACAAGCGCAAAGATTGATAATGACCGTTCTGTAACGACCGCCAACCGACGATCGATGGGAGTCGCCCACTGCCACACTCTCGCTGAAGTTTGCAGAACATTCGCTGAAACGACTCTTGCCTCTTTGGACATCAATCTGCACGGATGGACACATCGGGTCACTTGGCGCGAGCACACCCAACCACGCAGCCACATTGCGAAACGGCTAATCACACCCCGGGCACGCGAGCCTCACAGTTCCACACTCACAATTCGTGCACCTAGCAGACGATGAGATGGCATTCAGAAACAAAGACATTAGCACACAAAAATGAACAGAAACCGAAAAGTCACGAAGAGATGCATTCCTGAAATTATACTGAGCGGCAGAAAGAGGACCACAAGGTTATGGGACGTGCGCAGGCGGCTTATTAAATCACTCAAAGTGCTAAGGAAAGTAAGTTGTCTTGGGCAGGATAAGTTGCTAAAAGTGATGCTGGACAATGGCCAAGAATGACGACGGACTGGAACGCGTCGAAAAGACGTCCTCCGTGGAGGTGGAGCGATAGGTCCTGTGCAGGTGCCGGGTGGATTCACGTTTCGCAGGATTGAGGAGACCTTCATCCAGCAGTGAATACACCACAACTGACGATGATCGATCCATGTCATGGAAAGCACGATCTTGTTGCCCTTTGAAAGAGCAGCCCTGCAGTGCGAGCCACGCGTCACAACCACGCGGCCGTGAACGTCGCCTTCCACCAGTTTTTTGGCGAGAACGTGCCGATGATATATCCGCGTTCCTGGCGGCGCGTGACGCGTCCATGCCGCTGCGAGGTGCAACCACCGCGCGCACAATGAGAACGAGAGCCACCCACAGGAGTGGCCGACTCTGTGTCAAGGCACGAGATCACCGCTCCCCTTACAGAGCTCGGCGGATGAGCAGGCTTGGTTGGGGCAGCAAAACTGAGGGAGGCGTCGCACTTTACCGAATGGCGTCATTGAGAAAACATCCAAAACACGCGAAATTCATGCGCCTTTTATACACCGCGTGCGTACGCGTACCCACGCGGCTAAGCAAAACTAAATCTTAACAAACAAAATGAAACGAAACTGGAAGTCAATAGGAAGAGGTTCCCGCGTATATGAAAACATAACAATCTCGCGTACAGGTGGCGCGCGGATGACCACATCATCGCGCGACCGTGAGAGATGGCGACGGGCGGCTTGGGGAGGGGCCTTCACCCAGCAGTGGACAGACCATGGCTGACGAGGATGATGACGATGATGATGATGATTACAGCATCTCCCAAGCGGGTGGAAGTTGTGGGGATGGGAGAGATGGGTGGAATGTTGAGGAAGCAGAGAGACAAGAGACAAGAGAGAGAAGCCACTCGGAGCACAGCTGAGTGCTGGCCCCGGGGCAGCTCCAGCACAGCGACGCCGCCCCCCCCCTTCCTCACACGGCGCAACGCAATCGTGGACTTCGTGCGTCGCGGGGCCGCCCGCGACGCGAACCACCCACGCGCTGTCATCCTATTGTGCGCCCGGCAAAGCAGCTCCTGGGGGTGCCAAACGTCAAGCGAATGGCACTCGCCGTTATCATCCCCGCACCCACCCACCCACCCGCACAATGGAGCACTGCACGGGGCGAGCGCGCGGAGTCGCCCACACAAAGCGGAGCGCTCGCGGCAGCGCGAGGCCAACGGACCGGGCGGCGCAGCACGGTCCAGTGGCCTTGCGTGGGGCCACCAGCGCGCCATGCAATTTGCATTATGAATGCACTCTGCACGCCGCACGCCGCACCGGGCTGACGCGACACTTGACAGCAGTGAGCAAGGAACACGATGTTTGCGGAGGCGTTTAGGCAATTTGGCAGCCAATTATGCAGAATATACACAACACTGACAACATAAAGACTTGTCGCTTGCTCTTTTTTAAGAACGGATTATTAAAGTAACAAAAAAAACTGTATTTTTTTACAGCTATTTTCTCTGGACAAAATTATTTAGTAGGGTGTGGGGTAAATTGTACTGTTTCCACGGTATATATATTTCAATGCGATAGGATATCAATTCTATCACGTGACGATTTTGACGATATCAGTTTACCATCGCTTTGTAATTGCTTCACTTTTTTATTGCACAGTGTCCGTGCTCTGCCGTACGCCCCAGTGAAAACTATCACCGAACGGTTCTTCGACTCAAGTGGACTCGACATGAGCCCTTCACGACTTCTCATCATGCAACTAGACAACTTACAATGCTTACAACGTGCATGCTATCAAAACATCATAACGTCATATCACTGGCATGCGGTTCCATTAGCCTAGGAGACATATGGCACGCAACTTCAATTGTTATTTAAAGCATGCGGGCTTTTGCGACCGACATTATGATTCACACTTGATTTTGAGGTCAGACAACGTAAGTCGATTGTGCGTCATGCACCCTCCGTCACCCGACACAGCCAATTAATAAAGCCGTCACATAATGAACTAACGTGGCCAATCTGTGGCCACTTCAGCACAGCAGCACCACCGCTGTGCTGGAGAGCAATCCCGAGACTGGGGGACATTCTAAAAACATTCTGGCAACTGTCTGATGATGCAGATTGCAACCGTCAACGAAACGTCCGCAGCCTGTAGTCACTTGTCGAACGCGTGTGGCTCGCTGTCCAACAACGTCTCGGGCGGTGGCGATGGTGGTGACGGTGGCGGTGATGGTGGTGGCTGTGGTGGTGGTGATGGTGGTGGTGGTGGCGGTGGTGGCTGTGGTGGTGGTGGCTGTGGTGGTGGTGGCTGTGGTGGTGGTGGCGATGGTGGTGGCGGCGATGGTGGTGGCGGTGGTGGCTGTGATGGTGGTGGTGGTGGTGGCGGTGCTGAAGCAGTCATCTACTGGTCACGTTTGTTCATCACGTCACAGCTTTACGAATTGGCAGTGTCGGGTGGAGGAGGGTTTAAGACACACTTTGTCCTGCCTCTCAATCCTGAACTCAATTGTTATTGTGAATTGTTACTGTGGCCCTTTCATAAATATTGTCTCGGGAAATAACACGTAAAATTAAATAACATAGATCAATGACAATCATGATATGATAATACTATATGTAGCAATACATAGAGTGCGATTTGATTACCACTGGACCTTATATCACACGATATACGGATACATTATATTGTAGTATCACAACCCTCGTAAATTGTTAATTCCTCATGGTTTACACAATCATACGCGCGTGCCGGGCGGTCGCATGAGCTGTTTGCTATCATTTCGTGCCATACACCTTTGGACAACTTGTTTCCATTGCCAGCCGAGGGCAATGGAGTTTTTACACCCAAGCTTTAGCTTACGAATTAAACGAAAAACAGAATTTGTTATGACGAACATTACGATCGCACACGCACGAGCAGGCTTTCGCGCAAGTATTTTTTTTAGCAAGAGGATATATGAAACATGCATTTGCCGAGTGATATTTGATCGTCTCGATGGGGGCGAGTCATCTGCGGCACGTGAGCCGCCACCGTTGCCTGCCGCTGTCCACGGATTTGAATTTATAGCGAGCGTGGTCGCTCCGAGTGAGAAGTCCAACGTGACCCCACTGCCAGTAAAACGCAGGTTGCCGTGAAACTCGAGAAGCAGAAAAGTACGAGATAATCCACGGAAGACGTTCAGCAACAAATACGAAATACGAAAAAAGGACAAAACTGAAATGGTTTTGGATGTTGAGCGAGCCTTCCGCATGCCCTAAATTTGCATACAATTTTACCCCCAACAACTTAGTGTCAAATAAGTACATATACGCCCCTAATTTATAACCAATAAAGGCTTAACATTGCAGAGGCGTATTTCCTATGTCCTGTCAAACAATACTCGGTGGTCAGATAATTGGTTCTTTACCCTTCTATCTGGCAACAAAACTGACACCTTTTTGCAAGGAGTCATGTTTGCATAGA